CCGCCTCCCCCCCCGCCACCACCTCCTCCCGCCGCCGGCGAAGAGACTCGGGGGTCCCCCCCGGTTCCTCCGCGCAGCACCAGCTCGCAGCGGCCGTCGCTGTCGTCGTCGGGGCTCTGCTCTCCGCCGCTGCTCTCCGCCACCGAGCTGCGGCTGGCGCTCTCGCCGTACTTGACGCAGACGGAGCCCGGCGGCAGGGACAGCGGGTCGCCGCCGACCACCACGCCGCCGCCGCCGCCGGGTTGTAGCAGCCCCTCGGGCTCCGCCGCCTCGTAGCAGGCGAGGGGAGAAGGCTGACGGTCGCGGGGGTGGTGGGAGAGGTCGAGCCCCGGGGGGGAACGGAAAGCCGACTCCATACGCTTGGCCGAGGCGGCCAGGCTCTTGTGGAAAAGGTCCTCTTCTGCGGGCAGCCCCAGCGCCCGATAAATCGGAGCCCCGCTCGCCTCCTCCTCCTCCTTCTCCTCCTCCTCCTCCTCCGCCTCCTCCGCTCCTCCAAGGCTCCGCGACCCCTCGGCGGGCGGCTCCCCGGCGTCCCGGTGGGCACCAAATCGCCTCCCGGCGTCCCGTCACCCGGCGCCGCGGCTTCTTCCCCCTCTCCGGTGGCTCCGGTTGAAGCTCCGGTTGAGGCTCCGGTTGCGGCTCCGGTTCGCCCTCAGCAGGCGCCGCGCTGGGGCATTGTGCGTTGCCAACGGAGCCGCTTCCACCGTTTATCTTGCTTGGATTCACCTTCAAGAGATTTCCGGACCCATCAACCAGCAGCAGCAGCAGCAGCCGCCGCAAGACGGGGGAGTCTTTTACATCATTATCTCGGAGAGTAGGGTTATTATGAAGAAGACTCGCCTGTTGGGACAGAGCTTTCTACCCAATCAGGTTAACGTTTTAATTAATAGGATTAAAACGGTAACAAACAATCCCAGGCGCTATCTGGCCCTGAGTCTGAATAGTTTCATTTCCCCAGGTCTGAAGACAGGCAGCAGCTAGAGCTTTATAAGAGGCGCCTGCTCCATTATTCTCCCTGCCATCTGTATACACAGCTTAACGCATATGTTTGCAAGACGTTGTGTCCTGTTAGTAACCCAACAACTGCCTTTAGCTTGACATGTGTGGCGACTTTCACTCATCAATGAGCACACTAAAAGCCCTACTTAGATCGAAGGATGTTCTTTGCCTCCTTCAGCAAAATTACAGCCCCTGCACTGCAAAAAAAAAAAAAACAAAACCCTCCACCGCTTTCCTCCCCTGCCAGCAGACTTCTTGCTAACTTAGCCGCCGAGTCGGGAATGCCATCCTCATCCTCTCCCTCTCCCCCTCCACCCCA